GCTCAATCACGATTTTCTGTGTGTGAAACCCATTTTTATAATTTGAATTTTTTCCTTTTTCTGGATTTTCTTCTAATAAACCCGTATTTTTCCATGCATCAATCATCAATAGGGGGATGTTCATCTACAGAAGTTGATGGCAACAATGGAAAACTACAGTTGTTTTGTTATATTGAGGTTCTTTTTTTTTGTCTTAATGGACAAAATATGAGCTTCGTAATTTGTTGTATAGGCATTTAGAACCACTTTTATATGGTGTGAGTTTTTTTCCTATTTTTTTTTGTCAAAATGGTTTCATTGCAAAAAGTTAAAAGGGCAAAGGACAATACAAAACTAAGACAAAAATGTGCTAGCCATAACATAAACAAAGAGAGGGAGAATCTTTTTTTTTTGGTCAAAATGGTTTCATTGCAAAAAGTCAAAAGGGCAAAGAACAATACAAAACTAAGACAAAAATGTGCTAGCCATAACATAAACAAAGAGGGGGAGAATCTGCTAGAACCAAGCCCCAGTCTAGCAAAGGATCAAAATCCCTAACAAAATTAAAATAAGGGAAGAGAATAGTTAAACAACCGAACTTGTCCTAATAGAAAATCAACATAAAATACAAAAGTCGTCATTGCGCCACCACCACCAGCCGAACAAAGAACGTACCACTGTGGCCACAAAGGAGGAGAGAATCAACTCCCACACAAATCAGCTGAGCTACACATATGGACCCACAAATATGTCGACAAGACCAAAATTTTCCCAAAACACAACAATACATCAACGCAACAACATCAATCCAAGTATCACCAACTCCACCAAACTCGAACCGCAAGTGCACCTTAGGGAAAATAGCAACCACCCAAAGCAAGAGCCCATGATAGAACAACCTAAAGACCAAAGAACCAGAGCCCAATAACAGGAAGGAGGTGGTACAAGCACATGAGCAGAGGCTCTACACACCTTCCAATAGGGGCGCGAAACTCGCATTTAGGAGCAGATGCTACCCCCAAGGTAGAGAGGAGATCAAAGATTGGGAGGGTGCGAGAAATGGGAGGGATGCAAAGGAGGAAGTAAAAATATCTGTGGAGAGTGTTTGGCGGCTAAAAAGGGACACAAACAAAGCATGGGGCAATAGAAGTGAAGAAAATTCTAAAGGAGCACATCAACACTGCCCAAACCACATTAAGAGAAACACTAAACCCCAAACTCGACCTCTTAGCTTGACGAACTTGCAATAAAAGATCATCAGAGTAGGAACACTTATCCGATGCCAAGCCCACAGACGTTCATGCAAACACATCAGGGAGACCTGTTGCAATAAAAGATCATCAGAGTAGGAACACTTATCCGATGCCAAGCCCACAAACGTTCATGCAAACACATCAGGGAGACATGGGAGACCCTTCTAGGTTGGTCTCCGTCACTTTAGCAGCAAAATCTTCGATGCAAAATCTACGCTCACCAAAAGAGTTCGTGGCCACAAGGTGTCTCCCGAAAGATTGCTCAAGGTGTCTTCGATGCAAACCGTATGGATGGATACATAGATGGCACCCGGCAGAGAAGACCCCATTTTGATGGAAATAAAAGGGTAACAAAACCTTAAAACTACCACTGCCTTCGCTTCCAAGGTCACGCTAGATAAGACACCATATCCATTGCATAGAGAAAAGCCAGAGAGACGAATAGAGAATGTTAATTGGGATCGACATAATGAAATCTGAAAGCTTCGCATGGAGGAGAGACAAAAGGAGGGCTAGATAAGACACCATATCCATTGCACAGAGAAAAACCAGAGAGACGAATAGAGAATGTTAATTGGGATCGACATAATGAAATCTGAAAGCTTCGCACGGAGGAGAGACAAAAGGAGGCAAAACCCTACTTACGATTGTCTTCTTTGCCAAAACCACATCAGAAGGAAAAGCACATCAGCAAGGAGAAAGCAACCAAGTAGAGAACCACACCAAGGAGTCAGTGCTGGGGTCAGACATTGCCTCCCGTCACAACACCAAAATTGGGCCACACGGGATCCAAGGCTAGACCCTAGCCTGTGCAAGGCGTTGGAGACGACAAACTGAAGAAGAGGGATGACGAAGACCACTGGAAAGAAGCGAGACGATGCAAACTCTAGGTTTTTCACATGGCTCTCCTCGCGACCTTTGGTTATCCTTTAATTATAAACAAGACATGGAGATACAACATATTTTCGATTCATAGATAATGTACAAAATAGGCTCTATGTGATGATAGCGCTGCATGATTTTATGATATCCTTACTCGACAAAATTTTGTTAGTTTATCTACAATTTGAAATATCAATTAAAGCCAATGAGGTATAGTCCAGTTTAAAAGGGTATTGACTTGCAAATTAGTGATATCAAGTTTGAACCCTTATGGGAAAGCCTCCTCCCCTTGTAGTTTAGACTATCGGTTGTATTGTATTAAAAAGAAAAATCAAGTATTTTTTTTGGTCAAAAGAAAAAATCAATTAAAACCTTAGAATCACTTTAAAAATGAACTCATTATAATTTAACCTTATTGCCCAAAGCAAATTATGTCTTAACGCAATAGTTTCAGGTTGTAATACAAGACACATAACCAATAGGAAAACCCTTATGACAAACAATGCTAACATTTCATTTAGAATCCCTTATGACAAAACTGGCAGCTGTTTGTCTATTATTCTTAATAAAACATTTTTTTTCTTCTCCTTATTATAATTGAGGACACATATCATGGATATTATGAAAATACCAAAATTGCCCATGAGTTCTATTAATATTTTAAACAAAATTTAAGGTGCTACACAAAAAAAGTTTTCTTTATCTGTTTTTCTATTTTTTGATGGCATAGACAGAAAGTTAATTTCAAAGCTAAATTTGAGAGAGTTAAAATTCAGGTGAAAATGAGGAAACTTCTAAAAGTGTAATTTGGCCTAAATAGACCCATGTGGCAAAGCACAGGACAGTTTTAAGTTAGACCCAGGAACAGAGGCAGAGACAGGAACTGAGGCAGTGCGCTCCCTCTCTTTCCCTGAAAGTCTCGAACGGAGAAATACCCAGCTATCAATGGAACATGCAAAGAGGTAAGAATGGTTTTTTGCTTCTGGTTTTCCTACCCAAATGTTCATGCATGTAGAAACTGCTGCTTGATTTTGATTTTTCTAACTAATATTTAAACTTTGGCCAAAGACCGATTTGTTTACCATGTTTCTAGATCTGATTATATTTGGATTTCAGCTTGAGTTTTGCTTTCCTGTTAAAATTATGAATCTTTTAAGTGATGTGTAGCGTCGTCTGCAATCTTGTCTTGCAGAGAAACATGTTTAGAGGGAGAAATTTGCTTTCTCTGAAAAAAACGAAATTGGGATTTAGACATCCATCAGAAGCATCAAGAAGTTGAAGAAAGAGAAATTAAGAACAGAAATTGTGGGTTTTGTTGGGTTTTTTGTGTTGCTTTGTAGACAAAAGGTTTTGTAATGGAAGGAGGGTCAAGCCACAATTTCGTTCCTCCTTCAGCTGGTTTTGATAAGTCAAGGGTTTTGGATGTTAAACCTCTGCGTAGTTTGATGCCTGTGTTTCCAGCTGCGTCTCAAGCCTCTCCCTTTCCATGCATGCCTCCCTTCGGCCAAACCCCTAATGGATATTCTCCATTTTACCCATTTCAACCACAAGGCTCTCAAACCTCACCTAATCTCAATAGTCCTTCCCCAATGAGGACACCAACGGGTCCCATGCCTGCTCCAATTCGGTCATATAGAGCCCCCGCGCCATCTGGGGCACTGCCCCATGACTTTCCGGAGGAGTCTAATGGAGAAAGAGGGTCATCAATGGGTGGGGCAGAAGATGACGATGGTTATTTTGATGCTCATCTAGGTTCTAGTTCATCACGAAAGAAGACCGCAAAGGCTAGTTCATCTCGAAAGAAGAAAAAGAAAAGTGGAGATGGCGATTCATTAACAAACAGTGGGTCGGGAGTGAACTTTGTTCCGGTTATGAGTCCATTTCAAGTTGAAGATGGTAATAGGGAGTTGGTTAACTATGTACTTGTGAATTTTGATGCACTGCGGAGAAGGATTTGCCAAATTGAAGATGCCAAGGAATCTAAAAATGGGATTATTAAGCGTGCAGATTTGAAAGCTGGTAACATTTTGATGACCAAAAAGGTTCGAACAAACATGAGAAGGAGAATTGGGGTTGTGCCTGGAGTTGAGATTGGCGACGTTTTCTATTTCCGAATGGAAATGTGTGCAGTGGGATTGCATGCTCCGTCAATGGCAGGAATTGACTACATGACTGGGAAGGGTGATGCTGAAAAAGATCCAGTGGCCTTAAGCATTGTCTCTTCAGGAGGGTATGACGATGACACGGAGGACAGCGATGTCTTGATATATAGTGGCCAGGGTGGGAATAACAACAACAAAGACAAGCAGGTGGCTGATCAGAAGCTTGAAAGGGGTAATCTTGCTCTTGAGAGAAGCTTGAATCATGGCAATGAAGTACGAGTTATTCGGGGTGTGAGAGATGAGGTTAGTTCAACAACAAAGGTCTATGTCTATGATGGCCTATATAAAGTCCATGAGTCATGGACAGAGAGGGGGAAATCTGGTTGCAATATATTCAAGTACAAGTTAGTGAGGGTGCCTGGGCAGCCTGGTGCTTTTGCAGTTTGGCAAACTATTCGTAAGTGGAAGGATGGTTTTTCGTCAAGGGCTGGACTTGTTCTTCAAGATCTCACATCAGGGACTGAACCTATACCTGTTTCCCTTGTAAATGAGGTTGATAACGAGAAGACGCTGGCTTCTTTCACTTATTTTCCTAAACTCAAATATTCTAAATCTTTCACTTTAATGCCGCCCTCTTTTGGCTGCAATTGCCATAATGCATGCCTCCCAGGTGATATGAATTGCTCTTGCATTCAGAAAAATGGAGGTTCTTTTCCTTATACTGGCAATGGGATCCTAGTCAGCCGAAAGCAATTGTTACATGAATGTGGTCCTACATGTCCTTGCTCTCCCAACTGCAAAAACCGAGTATCCCAAACTGGTGTAAAATTGCGCTTGGAAGTGTTTAAGACAAAGGATAGGGGCTGGGGCCTCCGGTCGTGGGATTCTATTCGGGCTGGTTCTTTTATTTGTGAGTATGCGGGTGAAGTTATTGATGAAGTGAAGTTAAAGCAGAAAGGGAATGCAGGTGAAGACGATGAATATATTTTTGATACAGGCCGTAATTATGACTCATTTAAGTGGAATTATGAACCAGGACTACTAGAGGAGGAGACTTCTAATGACATAAATGAGGATTACAACATCCCATATCGACTAATCATAAGTGCCAAGAATGTTGGAAATGTATCACGGTTCATTAATCACAGTTGCTCACCAAATGTTTTTTGGCAACCGGTTCTATATGAACACAACAATCAGTCCTCTCTTCATATTGCTTTTTTTGCCATCAGACACATTCCACCTATGACAGAGTTGACGTATGATTATGGCAATTCAAGCTCTAGTGAAGCTGACAATGACAATGGACCCCATCGGAAAAATAAATGCTTATGTGGATCATCAAAATGCCGGGGTTACTTTGGTTGATTGTGTAGGTTATAAAACAGACAGCTACGGTGCCAAGAAACAGAATCCTGGCTAGTAAGTTTGGAACGTTATCGTGTTTAAATGTTTTTGAACTTAGCATAACTGTGACTTTGTTGTTGTTTATCTTTCAATGTGGGGTCGATGGTTTAGGTTCCAGAAACAGGCAATCATGGTGCAGACAAACATGATCCTGGTTGAAAAGTTTGGAATCTCCCTCTTGTTTATATGTTTTTGAACTTTTATGTTGTTTATCTTTCATTTTTAGTGGAGACATGCTTGCATAGTTTACTTTTCCTTCTATGAAATTGCCTAGTTTACTTTCCCTTATATGGGTTATTTTTCCTATATAAAATCTCTCTGCATGCAAACTCATGAAACCCAGCCATCTGGGATTGATGTGTTAGAAGGCTTATTCTAAGGATTCAAGAAAGATTTTGTTAGCAATCTTCTTACATGCATAGGATATAGAAGTAATTGTCCCAGACTTTTGGTACTAAAACTGTCGATAGAAATTCTAGTCCGGAGGCTTTTACTTGTTGAGCATCCTTGAAGTGAACACTTAAAGAAACAGTGTTTTGCCATTCACTGTTTAAATGTTTAATAAATAATGGAGTTAGAGTTTATCAAATCATTTTGAAAGATAGAAAGGGCATTAGAAGGACTTCCTATATGGTAAAGAAGGTTTCTGTAAAATAACTTACGCGCGCCTTCAGAGAGAGGCTTGGTAAATATATAACTACAAGGGTCTCTGGGGTTTGTACTGTAAGTAAAGTGTGAAAGTTGATGCCATAAATGGCAAAGAGTGGTTGGCTTTGAAGGAAACAAGTTGTCATACCAAATTGTTGAGACCAAAAGGTAAACACCCAAAATAAAGTACTGATTTGGAAACCTAATGCGAGGGTTTCACATACTCATATAGATGGGATTGGGAGGAAGCATTCTCTAATAACCAGGAGTTGACATTATTTGAGAGGACGCTAGGATTCAGGGCAGCCAAAACCATGGGGTTTTGGGCTCATATTTTTCGGTAATTTTTCTTTTCTAAAATTTGGATTGAGGAAGAGTCCGCGTGGTGCGCCTCTTCCCTTTGGTATGATGTGATATGTTTTTCTTTAATTAAAAAAAAGGCTTAATTACACTAATGGCCCCTGAAACTTCAGTTAAATCTCATTTTATCCCCCGAAATTTAAAATGACCGACTTTCATACCGTGACCGAGGTTTAGTGATCCACTTTGCCCCTTACTGTCAACTTCATTAAAAACTCTGTTAAAATTGATGATGTGGCATAGGCATATTGGTAATTTTATACACATGGATCATTACACCAATTGAGTGGGTGACATGGCAAGTGGAGTCCGCCTCCATATAAATAAAAATAAAAATTAAATATTCTAATAACTAAAAATTTAAAAAAACAAAAAATAAACTCAAAAACCCTTAGTAATTAACGTTTTATGTTTGTCAAGACTCAAATCCATTTCCGTGAAATAGGAATATAGCTGATTTTTTTAATTTTTTTGTCCTTCGTCAATTATCACCTTCTTTCTTATCCAATGAACCACTCTCAGTTTTTAATTTCTTAGAATAAATGCAGATCTCTATTCTTCCTTCTTCCTTCCTCAATACCCATATCTCAATTTTTAGTCATCACATTCTTCATTCCTCAATTCTTCTTCACGAGTCAATTTCCTAGATCTCATAACCCCACAAGAAAAAGAACAAGAAAATCCCTTTGCTAGCGATGGGCTGCCATGTCCAGCCGCACCTAGAGACAATTAAGCGATGAGCATACAATTTAAAGACCCAAAATTTCCCCATACAACTTTGACCCCCAAACAATTGCGCCCCACCCCAAGATCTGCTTAGCTCAACCCCAGAAAACCAGATCTTGCCCCCACCTGACGCTGTCGTCTTCTTCATTTTGGGCAAATTTCGATTTGGGGATTTTTGGGGGGAAATTAATCCACTGTAGTGCTGAGTGGTTATAAGTGCTAGGTAGGGTTGGGTTAGTGGGTGGGGATGGTGTGGTGTGGTGGTGGGTTGGGTTTGTGGAAAGGGATGGTGGAGTGGTGGCGGCTGTAGATGGGTGTAGGTTGGGTTTAGGGTGCATATATGGGAGAATGGATTTTGAGTTTTTTTATTTTTAAAAAAAGTTTATTTTAATTTTTAGTTATTAGATTTTTTTTTTTAATCTATGCAGAGGTGGGCTCCACTTATCACGTCACCCACTCATTTGGTTTTATGATCCATGTGTATGAAATTACCAATAAACCCATGCCACATCATCAGTTTTAACAGAATTTTAGATTGAGTTGACGACTGGGGCTAGGGGTGGGCATTGGAACCGGAAAACCGGAACATCGAATCGAACTGGTGAAAAAAAATTGAAAAAAAAACTGGTTGACCAAAAAAGTCAACAAATCGGACCGGAATCGGATCAAACTGATTTAAACCGGTTTCAATTCCAATTTTACACCACACCGCACCGGACCGGACCGAAAAAAATAAGTTATAATCATTATTTTAAAAATAAGTTACAAAATTTTAAAATCTAATGCCATATTTTAAATGTTATAATCACTATTTTTCCAAGTTCAACTTCAAAAAATTTCTAAATGTATGAATTGGATTATTTGTTAATTTTTAAGTCAAAAAAATAAGTTATTTATTATAATTTTTTAATATATATATTTTTTTTTGAAAAGAAAATTTAAAAAATAATAAATTAATAATCCGATTCAAAATCGAACCCAGTCAAAATTGGACCGGAACCGATTAGAACCGAATCGGTTGGTTTTTGATTTTTTTTTTGCCTAAATTGGACCAAACTGTTCTGATTCCGATTTGAGATGAGAACCGGACCGAACTGGACCCCGCCCACCCCTAGCTGGGGCAAAGTGAGTTACTAAACCGCAGTCAAAGTATGAAAGTGGTCAATTTTAAGTTTCGAGGGATAAAGTGAGATTTGATTGAAATTTCAAGGGGTATTAGTGTAATTAAGCCAAAAAACAATTAAGAAGGTAAAGAAAAGGGTCATCGGGCGTGACAGAAGATTGCCCTCCCGGTACGAAAATTCTATGGTGCACCAGTGTATCGATGCGCCAAAGGTTGTGAACCATTAGATTGAGAAAATAGTACAAAGGCTAATCTCCACCGTTGAAGTTGGTAACTGGAAACTTGTTATTGTAGGTTAAAGTATTAAAAATAAAAAAATAAAACAAACCCAAATAGGAACGCAAGAAGCAGAAGACGAAGAAGAAGAAGAAAGGCAGGGTGTGAAACAAGAACGTCGTGGTCGCTCTTAAATCTTCTTCTCCGTCTGATTTTCTTCCGACATCAGGTTTACTGCTACTGAAGTGATGGCTGGGCAGGTTGAATTTTATGACATTGCTTGGCATATCAACTCCAAGCTATCTAAGACAAGGTGAGTCCGAATAAAATTTGGGAAAACTCAACCTTGATCTTCCTCTTCCTCGTTGCCAACGGATCACACAATAAAACTCATATGCTTGGACGGATAAGCACTTCTCATCCTCTTGATCTTCATGTCTTTTTTAGCTTCTTCTGTGATGGGTAACTGGGTATAAGTTGGTTAGATTTTGGGGTTAGGGTTTTTGAATTGGGGTTGAGGTAAAAGGTTTTTGTCTAATTAAAAGGTTTTTTTGAACTGGGTATAACTTTCAGATCCTTTAACGCACCATTGCTATTTTGTGTACTATGAGATTTCACTAAACTCATGTTTATGAGAAATATAAATAATTATAAAAACTATTGATCTGATTTCTTTATGATTAATTCCCTGCCATCTATTATTTTGTCAAATATTCATACAAATTATATGCCCTACTTGGTTAATTGTGGACATATTTATACAAACTTATTAATCAGATAAGTCATTTTTTAATCCAATTACCAATTGGTTAGTCTGATTTTGCAAGTAGTGTACGCATATTGCCATGTTATTGGCAGCCTTTTCAATTTTGAGAATGTAAATACAATATGTGATTCGTCAATGCATTATGCAATTGACAAACAGGTAGCACCATTTGCATTCCAGTCGTGCAATTGACAAACGAAGCAGTCCCATTTGCATTCCAGTCATTTAGTTTGATACTTTTAATCTGTTTTCTGTGATCCTCTCCCGTTGTTTACTCATTTCTATTTTTGGATAATTTGGTTATGCCGATATGAATATGATGGATTGACAATTAGGTATGCTGATATGCATATGTGATTTTTATCTCTTTTGCTCTTCTCGTGAGCAATTTCTCTGTTCTGGTGGTGTTGTGTTTTTTTTGGGTGCTGGTGCAGTTTATTGTTTGCTTCAACTCCCAGTTGTATATATGATCATGATTTTTGAGCTTGGACAATTTACTTTTCTTGTATGTTAGTTATATGATACGTTAATATGTATGTATTTTTTATGATATTTTGTTATGGTTTTGCATGATCAGAATGGTTAGATGCACTAAATTCCATAGTTTGTGATCTTTAGGTGTTTAATTCTTGAGATACATAGAAAAGAAAAATAATCAAATGACAAAGGTCGTTTGGCAATTGACAATCAGTCGGTCGGTTTTTGCACAGTGGAATGGCAATTACATAGGGTTTGTTTGCAAAATGGAGATAAGCACGTAAATGCATGTTTGCAATACCATATAGTTGTAAGGGTAAAATAAATACAAGTTATAACATTTGAATTGTACCATACATTTGGACAAGTTTATTTCCCCTAAAAATATTTGAATTAATTAATAGTAAAATAAATACAAGTTAAAACAAATAGAAAATATTAGGTCATATGGATTGACGAACATAAGTAACAAATATAAAGTATTAGTTTAATCAACAAATATAAAGTATTAGTTTAATCATTAATGAACTTTTATTTTAAGTAACTACTTCTAGTTAGTATACCAATATTCATGGCGATTTGAGTAATTAACAAACAAGGAACGCGTAATTGACAACCAAGGAGCATCCAATTGCATACCAATATGCAATTGCATTTTAAGTACAATCTTATAACTTACAAGTTTAAGGATTCTGTTTACGACATTATAGTATTATTATAACCAAAACATTGTAACATCGGTTCTCACTCTTGTAAACTTTTCTGTTTACTAGAATAAGGGCCACTTTTTACATCACAAAGGTCTAACCTTATCAATTCTTTGTATGTGAATTTATATCCTTGTAAAATAAGGATTTATAACTTTATGGATTTGGTGAACCCTAATGTTATAATTTTGATGCAAAAACTTGTAAATCACCATCCAAATCTTGTAACTTATAAGTTTTGGGATCCCCTTACAATGCAAA